CACATGGTGATCATCTGAGTAACTGTGTGCTAAATCTAGAAGTATTTAATACATAATGATCATCTGTGTATCCAGAAATAAAATAAAGCGGGTACATCTGAAATTTCATTTTTAAAAAATCGGGGTATTACTTTTTGTGGAGACTGTATGGCTGATACACATGTATTTATAGTAATTAATTTACAATGTTGGGTAAATTTTGATTGAAATTATCATTAAGTTAACTAATAAAGTTGTGTTCTGAATTGTATGAAAATTTCCTAAATGAATTATAGATGATTGAATATGCATGTATGTTCAATGATCATATATACTGTCAATTAGGAAATTTTTATACAGTTTAACGTTAAGTTGTGATTTTTCAGCCAAACAATTCTCACGAAGATACATTTATTACATGCACATTTACATCATTTCTATAACGAGAATTAATAGTGAAAGGTTTTGTTCGAAGCAATTTTTAGAAGCTATAAGACTAGTCAATTCTAATATAAAAAGAGACCTCACATCCTCAAGCAACTCACAAACAATTCACAACCTAAAGAACCATATTATTAAAACCCTAATTACGAAGCAAAGATGAAGTTCCAATCAATTATTTTATTTTTGACCGTCATCGCGGCTTCCGTAATTTATGCTCAAGCTTGCACAATTTGTAAGATCCCATACATTCGATTAAGTTGTGAATTCATAAAACTCTTCTATACTAACGTTATTTTTCATTTCTTTAGTTATGAAAGGTACTGTATATAGCAGTCAAACTGGCAGCGTAGGAGGTGGATGTTACGGTTTGGGCGGCGATAACAATATAACTGATGTTACGACCAGTAATCCTGGTACCATGTACACCTTTTACTCTGATTACGGCTGCACAGGAACAGTACTTGGTCAAGGCACTGATACAACCCATTTCAATCCGCCGGTAATGATGCCCAGATCAGTCATAATAAAATGTCCAGATTCAACATAATAAAAAATTCAATGACGATGAAAATCTCTTAAATTTAGCGTTAGTGAATAGTCTATCATGTAATTGTATGTATATGTATATGTATATGTTGCAATAAATTCTTTTACCATAAACAAAGGAGTTTAAATTAAGCATAATATATGCTTACACAAAAATGGAGTACTTGTAAAGTGTAATAATGGTACAACTTCGATTACCCATTTCTTAAAATAAATGCAAATATATGTACACAGATAAATCGACTTGAAAGTTATCCGTCTTTGCTCAAAATTATTAGATAAAAAATATAGCATCTAACTCACATTGTAGTTCTAACGAGATTTAACTTTAAGAACTTTTCCTACACTGATAAACGTTATTATCACATGTAACTGTAATAATGTATCGAGCATGTATAGTATCAACTAAACGTAATTTCAGCTGATATATTTACTGTTTCTTCTAACGCTAGAACAATAATATAGACACTGCATGCCATTGCTGTGGTTATTTTTCGAAGAACAATAACGAAACCTATTATCGTTATTATGTCACTAAAACCTAAAATCCGCATGGAAATAATGATGGAAAATCTTTACATCCTTCAAAAAAGACTGGCGTGAAAAATACATGACATTTCCATGAGCCTCTATTTCGAAATATATTGAAATTACAATGCATATCCAGAATTTTGATAAATGTGATAGATCATGAAGCGCATCAATTTTACCAACGAATCTTTGTTTATTAATAAAAACTTCAGCTTAAAGAATTGTATATGTATTTATAACTAAAAATTTTGAAAAAATTGATTTTTAAGAATATGAGGTCCTATTTAGAGAATTCTAAAGATAAAATTTTTTGCATTGTTATCTTTAATTACACTTTAATTTTACTTTACTTAAAAATGTATTCTTAAAGAATAAAATAATAATTTGTTATATCTTTTTTCATATTTTAACTTGATAAAAATAACTATTGTATCATAAACAATGATTGCTAAGCTGGAAATATTTGGAATAAGATAATAAATTGTGAGATAAAAATTTTAAACTTGGTTCAAAGAAATATCTGTACAATACACTCGGTGGAAGAAAGTTAGACACTTTATAAATCGGGTCTGGAACGAAATCTCAAATCACGAAACCCCTAAAGATCGAAAGCCCGAAAGATCGAAATTCCGAATGAACGACACCTCGAATGAACAACATCTCGAATGAATGAACGACATCCCGAAAGATCGAAATCCGAATGAATGACATCCCGAATGAACGACAGCCCGTGATAATTTTAGTATACATATACTATGCTTTCAGAATTTCGTACATTCGGGATGTTATTCATTCGGATGTCGTTCATTCGGGATGTGGTTCATTCGGATTTCGATTTTTCGAGATGTCATTCATTCGGGATTTCGACCGTTACCGTTATATTATAGATCACATATTTAGCGATTCGTATAATATTGTTATCATTTTGACTAGATTAAATCATTAACAATCGTCAATTAATTAAGCTAAATTAAATATTATTAATTTATATTTTATCTTTATCTTTACTCTTTCATTATATAATCTTTATATAAATCAATGCAAAATCTTAGTAATACTTCACTTTATGTAAATTATTTAATCTAGCTCTCACTTTTTGTTATATCTATAATTCTTTAGTTCAATTAACTTTTGAATTATATATAATAATACTATTAAAAATACTCTATTCTGTTCATATATTAATAAATATAAATTATAAAATTGAATTAAACTATTAATATTTGTATGAATATTTCTTAAATTCTATATTTATAATAAAAAGATTACAATTATAAAGAAATTTGATTATATAAATATAATTATACTGTAATATTATCTATATAAAGTATTAATATTTAATATAATTTTCTTTTAAAGTAATCTATTCTTCAATATTATATAGCATTATATTTAGAAAATTCTTTTGTTTCTTCTTTATTAATTAAAGTTCAAAAATTATATTAAATTATATATTAACAATTAATCAGTATTTTAATATTTGACAGATTTATCATATTATCAAAATTCAAAAGATTTATAATAATAAAGATATATTATATATTAATAATTAATTAGTATTTCAGCTTTAATATTATATTATTTATTAAAATTTATAAATTTTGATAAGTATTTTTAATAAATGCAAAAAATATTTGTTATAATATATTTTACTTTTATATTATTATTCTTTTAACTTTTTTTATATTTTATTTAAGTTAATCAAATATTTTTTATAAAATATAATTATATTTAATAAGAAATAGAATATATCTTAATAATATTGAAATATAATTAGTCTAAAAAGCTTATTATAAATAGTTTAATTATTAATTTCAAATTTAAATAAGTTTTTTATATTATATTTTTCTTTTTCTTTTAATTAAAATAATAAAGTAATTTAATTTTAAAATTTTTCTATTTAATAATCTTTTATTATAATTTTATATAAATAATTAAAATAATAAATTGCTAAAATGTTATTATTTTATAAAGAAAAACTATATATTATTTAAAAAAATAAAGAAATATTTTAGATTTTTTAATTAATTTAATAATTTTATAATATTTTTTATATTAAAATATTTAATAACTTCATAATTTAATTTTATAATAATATATATTATTTATAATAAATAAATAAATAATATAAATTAGTAAATATTTTAATAATTAAATAAAATAAAAATATAGATTATTATTTAATTAATTAATAGTTTTATAATTAAATTTAATTTAGTTTTAATAAAGAATTATTATTACTAATAATACAGTTAGCATAAAAAGTAATAGTAAATATATTTTTTGTCTATAACTTAATAAGAAATTTACAAAAATTTGATATTATATTTTTTAAAATTATGAAAACAAAATTTTCTAAAATCAAAAGTATATTAATATAATAATATTTTATAAAATCACATACTAAAGATGATGGGCTCGAAGATTATTCTGGTTAAAGTATTATAAAAAATTATTTTTTATAAGCAAGTATGAAAATAATTTTATAAAAATATATTTATAATTTAAAAAAATTTTAATTGATATTTATTGAAAAAATATCAGTTAAAAAAGACTTAATTTTGATAAATTTCATAATAAAATATAATAAAAATATTATTTTTATTATATTTTATTATATTTTATTATGAAATTTATCAAAATTATACTTTTTTTTGACTGGTATTTATTTAATAAATATTAACTAAAATTTTTTTTAAATTATAAATATATTTTTTATATCTTTAAATATATTTTTAT